ATATAGACATATAAAAACCCTAAAAACATCAAAAATGACAAAAACTACAGTTAAAATGAAAAAGGAAAATATACAAAATTAAAACTATTAATAAAAACTATAATAGTATTTCAATGTTACTAAAATAACACTGATATGAGAATGTAGTTTTCTCCTGATGCCGTACAGCAGTTTTCAAACTATAAATAAGTGAAAGCATTAACTTAATATCTTAATTAAATGTAACATTTCAATTCATTTGTCACATTTCATTTTTAAGTCTGCTTTCTAAAGATTGAAATCGTGACATTAATTCTGAACTATTTAATTCTCTATTAACGACAACTCCCATGACTCCACACTCAGTCACGCCGTCATCAAACTACGCCTTTGTCTCTTTGTTTATTTTGAATACGCGCCCTCTAGTGGCGAAAATGACATTTTGTGCCTTTAACTTGATATACTAAAATAACTAAAACTGAAATAAAAAAATAATAATTATATAGACATATAAAAACCCTAAAAACATCAAAAATGACAAAAACTACAGTTAAAATGAAAAAGGAAAATATACAAAATTAAAACTATTAATAAAAACTATAATAGTATTTCAATGTTACTAAAATAACACTGATATGAGAATGTAGTTTTCTCCTGATGCCGTACAGCAGTTTTCAAACTATAAATAAGTGAAAGCATTAACTTAATATCTTAATTAAATGTAACATTTCAATGCATTTGTCACATTTCATTTTTAAGTCTGCTTTCTAAAGATTGAAATCGTGACATTAATTCTGAACTATTTAATTTTCTATTATTTTATTCTGACCTTGTTATGGCCTGCTTGTGTCTCACACTCAATACCTAGTATTCAAAGTTGGGCTCTCTTCTCAATAAACAGAAAGTCGGCTTTATCTGTTGCTTTTTGTGCATGTTTAAAGCACAGCATGAGCAGCAGATGGTGCAATTTCAATATTCCTTACTCAAACATCAACCTGCCTTCAACTTCTGCTTTACATTCATCACACAGTGGGAGAATGAACAAATTATGACATATTCGTCAATGACTTTAATAACTGTGTTTGTTTTTTACCAGGCCCTATTCACTTAGAGCGCAGATGCCCAACTCTCAGCTCTGTGTTCAAAGGAGAGACGCTCACAGGCGAACAGCAGAGACTGTCAACAACAAACCAGTGCTTCTTCCCAAAGGTCTGACCTGTTGCACTTACTCTTTCTTGAAGAAATAGATAATGCAAAGCATGCCTTTTCTAACTGAGATGTTTGCCATTCAGATAAACCGCTCACAGTTCCCAGTGCACGTGGATGGAGCCAGCATCAGGACTCTGAGCAGCGTTGAATTTGGGAGGCCTGATCTAGCTGGAGGCTTTTATAGCACAGCAACACAAGAGCAGTTCCCCCTAAAAGAGGTGGTCCATCCCAAGCCTCCAGTCTACCCACCTAGCCATGTGCTGTTTGAGCAAGGTACTTTCACCTGTATTTTCACAATGAAACGACCTGCCCACATTACTTCACATTATACCCTTAGAGTGTAAAAAGAGCATATGGGCGGCTGTTCTGCTCGATCTGACCCTTTATATGACTCTTGTTGGAGTAACTGAATGTTGTCAGGCTGTTCAGTCATACTAAGTGTTGTTGTTGTTGTTGTTTTTTTGACTAGAATAAAAACACTTAATTTAAATGTTACTACACAAAGAGCATTTTTAAGTTACCTGCAGTGGTTTTTTGTATTATTGAGATACTATTATATTTTTGTTAATATTCTGAATTAGATTTTTTTTTTCCTGATTTCATGTTAATTTAAAGGTTTAGTAATTTTGTTGTGTTTTTGTTATTATTTAAAAATGTCTATATAATTTTTTTATCATTTTATTAATTCAGTTTTAGTTATTTTAATATGTCAAGTGTTTTGTACATTTTATTTCAGTTACAATTTTACATTTATTTCAAGTAACAACATTTTTCTTTTTTTTTTATTGGTTTTAATTTTAGTTTAGTATAATAACCCTGGTTAATTAAATAAAAAATATAGATTCAATAAAATGTATAAAAATAATAAAATATATTCAAAAAATAATATAAAAGGTAAAAATAAAGTTTTTAAATTATCTTTTTTGTTGTTGTTGTTGTTTCGGTTTTATTTTTTAGAGCCAGATCAGATGATTACAACCATGCAAAAAGATTTTGTCCCGTTGAACTGTAGAAGACAGAAAATGAGCCCCAGCCAGCTTCAGCAGGTAAAATATTTAACATATGAAACCATGTGATTAGAAGTAGTGGACAATTAGTTAAAAAGTGTCACAAAATGATATTGTCGAAATAAGGCATTTTGCCTGATACTACCAAATAATTATCAACAGTTTCCCCACTTTTAGGGGGTTGTACAGCATAATAGTTGTTCAATGACCAGTTTTAGAGCTGATCAATCTCTTTCTAGGTTAAAGACAGCCATATAAAGCCCCGGCACAGCAAACATGACTTCAGGACAACCCACAACGAAGCATTTGTGCCCAAACCCTACCGCAAGGCATCCCTGGGAAAGCCACCTCTACAACACATCAGCCATATGCCTTTTTGAGTTGAGTTGAAAAACATCCAAATCACATTAAAACGGTCTGTACTCTATACAAATGTCATTTTTCGGCTGAAGGCCTGTGCAACGTTCATGCATAATCAACAAAATCCAACATAATCAACCAAATCCAACTCAACTCCAGCATACAATAATAACAAACAGGAGCAATTACGATTTCTTCTTATTTTTTGATGGACTTGATTTTTAATGACAACCACCTGATAATACACACAGACTTAAAAAAAGGACAAGGACATTTGTTTAGAGTGCAGACCTTTTTTGTTTTTGACTTTAAAATATTAAAAACGCATGCATGTTTCAAAGCATCACTTGTGTATGTATGTCCTGTCAAATTCATGTCATGTTGGAAGCCCAGAATTTGGCACATAACATCATTACCTCCACAAACATTAGTGCGAAAAGTTCTTATCAACATATAAGAGGCTTTGAGGCATGTTATGACAACAGAACATGTCCTACTTACGATCAAAAGTGTGTGTGTGTGGAACTTCAAGGTTAAATGGCGATCCGGAGCTCATGGTGTTAATGACTGCATGAAGTGTGTCAGAAGGCGATTAACTCGCAGACTTCACATGACTTATATAGGCATTTAGACCAGAGCATGTGCAGAATATCATGGGACAGTGCCAGAGGTTTTCCAGTTAAACGTGCTGCTGTCTGCCAGTGAAGAGTCTCCATGCAGGTCTGTGTTTGTGTAGGGAAAGTGGCATGATCCTGTGTGTTATCAGACGGTCTGTTGAGGTAATGGTGCCGCATCTAACTCACAACATCTACTCCTGTTACCAGTTGCAACCTTGAACTTCACATTTTTGGTGTTTATGCATACACAAGTTCAACATTTCATTTCGGTGATATTTAGAGGGTTTTATCATATGATTTGTCTCATTTTACATCTTATTGCATTTGTAAGTTAATGGAATTAGGAATATTGTCATTATCATGTCAATGTGTAGTGAAGTGACATGACATGTGGCCAAGTATGGTGACCCATACTCGGAATTAGTGCTCTGCATTTAACCCATCCTAAGTGCACACACACGTTTGCATGTTTCTAGTTTAAAAAATGTTTTCAATATGAATTATATGATCAGTATAATTTGGATGAAAAAAGGTTTTTTTGGTAGTAGTAGGAGTTTTAGTATTTGTCCCCCTTTTGTTTTAATGACAGCATTATTTAGTTGTTTAGACTCTGAAAATAGTGCAAAATCTTAAATATTTCTTACTCAATTTGTCATTTTCTTTATTGTTAATTAGTCAAAATCCCAAAACTTTCTATAATGTTTAGGTTTAAAATACAAAAATATTCTATGCCATCTCAGACGTTTGGACTCCACTTTATACTTGAATTAATTAATTAATTAATAATTTATGCAGAAATACAATACTTAATGCAGAAATACAACAATAAACAACAGAAAACGATACATTATATATAGAAAGAAAAATTTTATTTTAGTTTTAGTTAACTATAATAACCGTGGTTACCTGAAACAAAAATATTAAATAAAATTCAATATATATACACACATACACACACACACACAGGTTTGTTTTTGTGAAAAGTGGGGACATCCCATAGGCGTAATGGTTTTTCTACTGTACAGACCGTATATTCTATTGCCCTACACCAACCCTACCCCTAAATCTACCCCTCACAGGAAACTTTGTGCTATTTCAGACTTTCAATACACTCCATTCTGTGTGATTTATAAGCGTTTTGAAAAGTGAGGACATGGGGTAATGTCCTGAAAAGTCACCTTCTACTTGTAATACCTATGTTATACCCTTGTCATTATACAAATTTATGTCCTCATTTGTCACAAAAACGCGCACACACACACACACACACACACACACATATATATATATATATATATATATAAATATACATATTTTTCTAAAAATAACACAAACATTTACATAAATTGTATAAGTAAATGATGCATAAATTAATAGAAATATATTAGAAATATATAAGTAATATTTATTAATATCAAATATTGTTCTGATTTTCTTGTCTTGTTTTTATTTATATTTTTATTTATTTATTTTATTTGTTTGGAGTCCTCTTTATCCTGGCAGAAATACAACAATAAGCAGCAGGAAATGTTACATTACATATAGAAAGAAAATGTATCGCTAAACAACATTAGGCTACTACTTTTCTATGGCTTCAAAAACTGACCCGTTATGCGCTTGTCCGAAACTTCTGCTCGGAGGCATAATAGTTACACCAGTGAATGGGCGTGGCCACAATATTAAAGCGCGTGTGTCTGCTTCCTATTGGTGCACAATAGAAAGTGGGCGGTCTCCAAACAACAGACAGAATACATTTAACTTTTACTCTCGGTGTGTTGACTTCGTTTTGCGCGCAGTTTGTGGGTTTTAAAGGTGGAAGGTACGTTCCTCTTCTTTTTGACCTTGCTGTAATGTCACCTATGTAACTTAGTAACGTTTTAACTAGTTAACACTGAATATATAACGACGTTTTAATTGAGCACTGCGCTTGCACCATGGTATGGATGAGTAAAAATAACCTCTAATCATAAGAGATGCATAAACGGATTATTTATATGACTTGAACTCTATATTTTGGGCATCACAGTTATGGCTTTCCAAAGCATCAAACTCTTTGCTCTTGAGCTGGACGGTCCGGAGGATACTGTGTACGGCAGCGGAGAGATGATCACCGGCGTGGTGATCCTGGAGCTCAACCGGGAAATCAAAGTCCGAGCCCTGAGAGTCCTGGGACGAGGGGTCGCCGCGGCCCACTGGCTGGAAACCCGCAGTGTCGGCGTGAACACCGTCTATAACGACCACACATCCGAGATCACTTATTTCAGGAAGAGACAGCACCTTATCCGAGGTGGGTTTGCGTGGATATATATATATTCTGGCTAAAATAAATTGTAAATATATGTTGTAAACCGTGAAGCTCAATGAAATCTTACAGTAGCCTACATTCTGGCTTATGCAAATGTGGGTGGAATAGCCTACTAGAGATCAAAGCTAGATTTCTAATGATTTAATAATGCTTAATTTATAATTAAATATTGTAATGTTTTTGGAACATTGTAAAGTATGCCTATGTTCCTTGCTGATTTTTATTCAGATGTGTTCACGTTATAGCCCTGAGAGTCCTGGGACGAGGGGTCGCCGCGGCCCACTGGCTGGAAACCCGCAGTGTCGGCGTGAACACCGTCTATAACGACCACACATCCGAGATCACTTATTTCAGGAAGAGACAGCACCTTATCCGAGGTGGGTTTGCGTGGATATATATATATTCTGGCTAAAATAAATTGTAAATATATGTTGTAACAGTGAAGCTCAATGAAATCGTACAGTAGCCTACATTCTGGCTTATGCAAATGTGGGTGGAATAGCCTACTAGAGATCAAAGCTAGATTTCTAATGATTTAATAATGCTTAATTTATAATTAAATATTGTAATGTTTTTGGAACATTGTAAAGTATGCCTATGTTCCTTGCTGATTTTTATTCAGATGTGTTCACGTTATAGACAACATTTTTTTTTTCTTCAAATGTGACATGTGAATGTATCTTTTTGGATTGAAATATATGGAGGGCAAAATATATTTTAAATGCTTTTTAAAAATATGGTTATATTTTTTTAAATGTACTAAAAATTGCCCAAAATATGTAAATATATTTACGGAAATATATTTTGAAACATTTTTTGGACAATTTTTTTATTTTGAAGTTTATTTAGAAATGTGCAGTTTTTGCTGTATGGGTCTGTGCATCACAGAATGAGAATTTTTGAAGAAAGTCCTGATCTGTCTTTTCCATGAGCTTAAAATGAATGGTAACTCACCATAGATATCATTATAAACGCCTGTAGGGCAGAATATCCCAAATCCTATAAAGCCACATGGTACCTTTGTTAAAAACAAAAACTTTTAGTTTGTAATAAATATTTTAGTTGTATGTCTGAATTGTGAATGCATATTAATTCATATCGGTTTTGTATACTTTGACTTGAATTCAAATGAATCGTTTGTCCAGTAAAGCGGATGATGGACAAATCTCTGGCAGGAATCCTCAATGAGTCAGGGCAGATATCAATATTATCAATAATAATGTGTGCATAACACAAAGGTGAGTTTCCTCACTGTCATATCATATGGCTCCAAAAGGCTTATATAGCTTGTGAGGACCATTTTTATGGTGATATTTATGCCCTTTTCAAGGCTTTACATCTTCAGTCACCAATCATTGTGAGTACATGAGAATGACGAGGAAAGTAAGTCATGCAGGTTTGGAACAGCACGAGGGTGACTAAATAAAGACAAAATGTTACAACTGTGATCGTGCAGTCATGCAGTAGTTTCATTGTTGACTGGCTTCGTTTTCGTGTCCTTTGACAGCTGGCACATGAGTGATAATGCTGAGCGAGTGTGTGATCTGCTTAATCATTCATCTGTTTAGGTGAAATACACGCGAGCAACTGCACTTCACAAGCCAAATGCTTCTCGCCGAGGTGATAAAAGCTCAGCTACTGTCATTCAAATGAAATAAAGGCATGTTTGGGTTGATGTTAATAGGAAGTACTGATTTACAGCTTATCAGGTCGTGTTTTACTGCTCTATAAACGAGCGATGTTAAGATCTACAAGTTGATTTCAACACTTGCAGCAGTAATTGGCCATTTCTGTGAATGTAGTACGATACGGTGTCCCAATACTTTTATGCTTTGTTGTTTTGAGATGTATTATATAGGCTACGTCTGATAAACTGTTATCTAGCATGCAAGGTAGCTAGTTTAAGCACATCTAATGTCTGTATCAATCTGTATACACCTTAAAATGTTGCTTTTTGTCCTGTCCTCAGAAGTCTTGATCTTCTCAACAATATCTTAACAATTCAAATTATATAAAAATATCAATAAACAGAATAATTTTGACACACAGTTGAATTAATATTCAATTAATTGTAATATATATATATATATAATTATTAAATCAATTGTGAATTTATTTAGAGTAATGAGAGAAAGACTGAGTGTTGACTGCAATTATCAAGCTCATTAATTCAACTTATCCAGGTTTTAAGAAAAATGAACAAATATTTTATATGAAAAAGATTTTATTTACAAATAAATTGTACATTGACTATCGGTGCTAAAATTAATTATAACTAAATACAAAACAAAAATAGACTTGGCAACAATTTTCTTTATTTTTTGTTTTATATTAAAATGTCACGTGTACATTTGAGTGGTATTATTTATCAGTCATCTGCCACCCTGCTGCTCTCTATATATATCACTACTGGCATCTTCTATGAACAATACCATATTAGTTTCTCAATACGACACTTTTGTGAGAGCAGTGATGCAGGCATCCGGAGCGGCACAGATCTTTCCTTAGTCGTGGATATGATACACCGTTTTAGTACGTGTTTTCATACCGCAGTGTCAGTTTAAGAAATCGCATGGCCAGGGTTGCTTATCATTATCTAAATAAACAGCTCGTTTCTTGGCAACACAGACGTGACAGTCCTCACGTTGTAATCTCAACTTTAAACCACTAGAGAGGGAACGAACCATGCTGACAAATGTGCGAGGCCCTCAAAAACAGTGTTGCCAGGTCCGCAGTTTTCCCGCGGAATTGGGCTGATTGCCGCGGGTTGTTTTTCATGTCCGTTAATTGAAACGACCCCAATAACGTGATATTTATCCCCCTGCCTGGAGTGAGCTTTTTTTTTACCACGCCAAAAATCGTGTGTCCCCCCTCCCAGGAACTTGAATTACCCAACCTGGCAACCCTGCTCAAACTAGTGCGGCGAATCCTCCGCGAGAGGGCGGTACGTGAACTTTATGTCGCCGCTAACAAAGAAATAAGTTGTTTTGGTCTTTAAAAGTCTGAGAAAAGTGCTTCTGAAGTTTTGTTTGACAACTTAATACTTTTGGCAGTTCATACTCTTTCTGCAGTGTCACTATTTTTTTTCTGCAGTGTCACAAATTTTTTATTTTTTTTTGGAGAGACTGAAATGGCTTTTGTTTAAAACCTCGTTGTTTGTTTTATATATAGAATGCAAAGGAAGTTCGCATATGCACGTCTTTCAGAAAAGTGATTGACCGGAAAGTAGCACAACAGCACAGAAAGAACCCGTTTTTGTTTTGCTGAACTTCTTGACGGGGAGGTTCCTCTGGTTCGGGCATGCTCAGTCAGCTTGTTTTTGTCTAAGAACCTGTAAGCATCAATCATCCGAGCTCTCCATCCACACCCAGTTAAGATGTTTATGAGCAGGCAGCGATTCCTGCCATAGGCCTTACATAATAAAATCAGTAAGACCCGCCCACACGAGTTAAAGGCCGATCAGGGAACATGCACAGCTTTAGTTTTGTTTTGAACCTGAAGGAAGAGCAGCTTCCCTGCACTTGAATGCGCCTCTCGCTTTTTGTTTGACTTCGCACGTCTGAATTCGACACACTTTAGGGGCTGCAAACTTTTGCAAGACCAAAGATGATTTTCGACAAGCTGAACAAGTTCGACATAGTGTTTGATTCTCCGGAGATGGACTGTCCTCCGGTGTTCAGCAGTGGAGATGTTGTCTCAGGGAAGGTTGTGCTCGAGCTCTCGGCGGAGAGTAAAGTCGAGTCGCTGAAGTTGCACGCTGAAGGTTTCGCTAAAGTCTACTGGACCGAGTCTCGCAGCGCCGGCTCCAGCACCGCTTACACGCAGAACTACAGCGATGAAGTGGAGTACCTGAACCGGAGAGAGGTTCTGCTGCAGGCAGGTCAGTCATTCACAGCCAGAGACCGTCTAAAGCTATGGGCTGCCTGAGCTAGACCGCGAGTTTTAAGATGTGCGGAAGAGTTCCAACTTGTTTTCGACTTTGTCGAGCTGATTGAGGCGAGTAAACCAGTTCACCTAAAAACAAAAAGTGTATTATTATTCTCCCCCATGTCGCTCTAAACCCCTATGACTTGCTTTCTCACGTGGGAGGTGATTTAAAAAAAAAAACACATTGACCACTTTTTTCACCAAAATGAAAGTGAAAATAGTGTGAACCTACTGTAAAAAGCACTCATCAAAAGTACTTAAATGCCTTGTGTGTGGACTTTAGTGATTCTCTTTCAGTTAATGTTAATCATACTACAAGACAAGTATTCTTGTATTGAATTCTTTTTTAAATTAAAAAGAACTGAACTCGATAACCAATCACTCCGGTCTGTTTTTCTGTCGGATTAACCGATTTATTGAACATTCCACTCAAACGAATCGTTGATAATTGACTAATCTGATATCGCTGAATTCATTGTCTGTTCATAATACAAAACATGCTTTTTATATAGTTTTTATGCTATAAACCCTTTTTCACATTGTTTTTTTGTTTAATTGAGTGAACTGGTTCATCATGCTACAGCTGCAGATTGGTTAATGTGTGAAGTTAATAACTATTATGGTGAGCAGCGTTTAATGGCTGCTGAATAACTACTTCAGTCATTATAAGAGGCTGTGGTTAAATGAGAAATATTTTAGACAAAGTTCAACTTTATGCCTTTATTAACCAACAAAACCTGAAGCTTTGGAATGAACTAGACCGAAATATATCATCAACATCAGCTGTTAATGTTGTGTTTTGTGTTATATCATCATCCAATTCTAACATTACAGCCCCTAGCGCTGTGCTTTTATGATTTATTGGTGCGATCATGTGTCTTTACCTTGTTCCCGTCCAGATAACGGTGAACTGACAGTCCTGTCTGCCGGGAGACACGAGTACCCTTTCAGTTTCCAGCTGCCAGAGGAGTAAGTCTTGCTTGCTATATTAGTCTCATACAAATGTTGTCATTGAGCTTTATTTGGGAAGGATATGAGCGTTAATGTAAGAGTTTTGTCTGTCAGAACTCTAGTGACATCCTTTGAAGGCAAGCACGGCAGCATTCGATACTGGGTGAAGGTTAAGCTGCATCGCCCATGGGCCACCGTCAAGAAGATCAAGAAAGAGTTCACCGTTATCGAGCCCATTGACATCAACACACCAAGTTTACTGGTAGGAGCTCGGAATAACTGTTGCCTTGTCATTTTCGGTTCATAGTTTTGGTGGCATGCATGCTAAATCAGAGGTTTTACTTCAGGCACCTCAAGCTGGAACCAAAGATAAGATGGCCCGCATCTGGTACCGCAACTGCGGGCAGGTGTCAATCACCGCAAAGATCGACCGCAAGGGCTACACGCCGGGTGAAGTGATTCCAGTCTTCGCTGAATTCGATAACTCCACCTCTCGCTCAGTGGTGCCGAAAGCTTACATCACCCAGACGCAGACCTTCATCGCAAGGGGCACCATGAAACAGAAGCGAGCCGTGGTGGCCACTTTGTGCGGGGACATAGTAGGCGCACGCCGTAGGGAGACATGGCACGGCCGCGCCATCAAAATCCCCCCAGTCGGCCCCTCCATCCTGCAGTGTCGCGTCATTAAAGTGGAATACATGCTCAGGGTGAGTTTGAGACCTTTGCGCTGCTAAACTACTAAAGCTGCTAGAATGATCTTACTAATCACTTTGTATTTTCATAGGTGTGCGTTGATGTTCCTGGGACGTCCAAGCTTTCCCTGGAGCTTCCTTTGGTTATGGGCACCATCCCTTTGCATCCGTTCGGCAGTCGCACGTCTAGCGTCAGCAGCCAGTACAGCGTGAACATGGAGTGGCTTCGCATGGCCATCCCGGAGCAGCCTGAGCGTACGTATATACACCACCCTGAGTTTCGTTCTCTTTCATCAGCCTGAAAGCGACGTCATACTGTGAAATATGTCACTCACTTTGAGTCTTGTGTGTTTTTAACCACAGCTCCTCCAGATTACAGCTCTGTTGTGTCAGATGAGGATGCGGTCCAGAACTCCACAGCAGTCCAACCTGAGGAAGACCTGAGCGGCGTGCTGCAGCGCTCCCTCTTGGCCTACGTGCAGGAGTTCAGATTACGCCCGCCTCCGGTGTACAGCGAGGTGAGCAGACGGTTACATGCAAGACGGTTACATATATTTATTTATTAGACAGTGGTTTTCAGCTGGTTTTGTCAGTCAGGACCAAGATTTTTGCATCAGAAGAGATCCAAAAACTGTATATCGAACAGAAAACTGAAATTTATGGAAACCTATTTCCTACTCGAGAGTAAAAAATAAATAATAATGTAAAAAAAAAAATAAAAAAAAATCCCCCCTTTTTAAAATGAATCTCAAAATGTCACTTTTTATCTTGCAGCTTTATATATGTCATGACTTTTTCCATAATTGCAGATAATATTAATCATAATTGCGACGACTTTTATTTGCAACTTTAAATCTCTCAATATTCTATCACAATTATGACTGAGATGTTTACACCAAAAGAGGCCCCCCCCCAATTAAAAAAAAAATAATAAATTTTAAACAAAAAACTAAAATGTTTGGAAGCCTATTTCTGCTTTTGAGGGAGAGTACAAAAACTCTGCAGCTGGAACTGTAGAGGTGGGATGTTCTGCTGTCTGCCTAAATGCGAATGGACAGGGCAAATCAAAACTTTGTTTATCCCTCGGGACACTTAAGAAGGAAGCTGTGGATATTCCCAAACTTGTGAAGCTCACAAGAGGAAGGTTAGAGAAAAACAATTTAAATGATGTCAACCCACTAAAATTTTTTCTTCCTCAGAGAAAAAAAAAAAATATATATTTTTTTTTTTTTTTTTTTTTTTTTTTCTCCGTGTTTAAATTAATCTCACAATGTCACTTCTTATCTTGCAGCTTTTATAAATCTTGTGACTTTATTTTCCATAATTGCAGATTATATATCATAATTGCGACTTGTATTTGCCACTTTATATCTCCCGGTTATACAATATCACAGTTGCGACTTTTTCCTTATAACTGCAACTTTAGGAATTTGACTTTTATTTTGAACTATTCCACAGTTAGCTCTTTTGTACTTGGAAGCAGAAATGGTCTTTGTAAAAATATCTTTAAAATCAAACATTAAAATCTTAAATTATTTTACAAAGCAAAATCACAAAATTGGCTTCTTCCCAATTTGGCCTGCGACTATAAGGTTGCAGATGAATTTGCATCAAAATACTGAGTTAGATTAAATGCGCAGCCTTCGACATCAACAACAAACGATACATCCTTCGATCAAAATCGATACCAACGATTTTGTCCTTCTTATGAAGAGTTGATTCTTTCCCTGCTATCTGCAAATCACTGATAAAGGAATCTGGTACTTTTAAAAAGTATCGTATTGGAAATGTTCTGACATGTTTTTTTTTTTTTTTTTTTCTCCTCAGGTGGACCCAAACCCTCAGCCTATCACCATGCGTCCTCGCTGCATGACCTGTTGAACTCTCTGCCAGCTGAGCATCACCTGATGTTTGAAACAAAAGCCGAGATTTGATTCTCCCGTATGCCTCTCTGAGACTGAGATTGGCACTTGTTCCTCGTTCGAGCCGTTCGCATCTGTGCTTCCTGCAGTGGGGCCGAGAGAGGAGGAGATGTCTGGACTAGGCGAGGCAGAGCGCTTTCATCAAACAAAGAGGACATTCAGTACCGGGGCAAACAAAGGTTCTGCCCATGTCTGGTCACAAAGAGCGATCAGACTCTAGTTTGTGCCTAGAACGGTTGTACGTAGAATCAGGGAATTTTGGGCATGATCACTAGAGAATTATGGGTGAGAAGCCATTCTAGATGCTGCACATAGTGCTTTATTTTGCTGTGAACGAGGGCCTAGTCCCTTTTAAAACCAGCTAAGGTCTGCCACCTTAGATGCTAGCAGGCATTTGATGCCGTCCTCTCCCAAAACCATCATCATGTACGTCTCATTTGGTGTTGATGTTAGCCAAAGAGATCGGTTTAACGTTCATGTGAACTGATAATTCTATGCAAAAGGGAAAACCTAGTGCTTCAAGGAAATGATGTGGGGGAAATTGCACATTTTCTGGAAGTAGAAAATCTTTTTCCCCCTCTTGGAGTGGATCTCATGTTGTCAAGTTGCATTTGGCTCGACAGAGGTCGAGTCCATGACCTGGAAGGTTTTAACATACCGCCGAATGTAAACCACAGATAACTTTTGCGCGAAACCGTTGTTTTTCTTGGTAATTTTTGCCAGTGGCTTGAGGCAATGTAAAACAGGGCTGGAGCAGCCCTTGACAGTTAGCTTTACGAATAATGGGGGAAAATACAGAGCCACGTGTATCCAAGGTGCCTTTTTTGTTGTTTTAGAAGAAACAATGAACGACTACAGGGATTATGTCACGTTAAGCTTTCCTAGTGTTGCGACTCCCTGAAGTGTCCTTAAAGACATTCCAAGAATACCACAGACTTGCTTCATTTCCAGATGATGAAAAAATTTAACTTCAGACTTGAACACAATGATTGTTTATGGCACTCATTTTGAATGAATGTATTTTATAGATTTTTTTTGTTGAAATTTGTGATGAGTATATTTTTTGTTAATCACTTTTAAGTAAATAAAAAAGAAAAACTACATTTGAATATGGTGTTTTATGTCATGTGATTTTTGAAATATAGCATATTTCATTATTTATAATAATAATATTTTTACAGTTATGCAAAGGAGAAGACTAAACAACATATTTTTTTGCATCAGCTTATTTTAGAGTAGCAAAAGTTAGAGTTGGAAATACATTAACTGGAAAGTGCCTCAAGAGTGACATTTATCATAAAATCTTTGTTTTCCATCCATGAGAATGTCAAGAGTACAGCAATTTTCCTGAGGGGTTGAGCTTTTACTATATATAATATAAGTGGAGCCTGAGGCACCGAGTGTCCTTTTTCCTTCTGTGCTGTTGTCTGAAATGCTTCCATTCTTAAGAAGAAAACTTATGGGAACAAAGTTAGTGATGTATTATGTATCATGATTTAACTTTCATTAGAAGCATTGCTTAACATTAATACAATAAATACATTATTTTTAAAAATATTATATAAACTTGCACCAGCATAATATAGGCCTGACTGAACTTGTTTAAGGTCATGTTAGAGGAATGTTGTTGTTTTTTTTCATTCGTACATCCTGCAGGGCTTTTATTATTTTATCAGCATATAATGTAACATGAACAAGTGGAACAGGAACAAGAACTCTGCAAGCGATTACTGATTGGTGACTGGAGTTCCCATTCTCTTGCAAGTCAAAGCTTGCCCTCACAAGTTTACCGTCATGCTTTGTTAAGGAACTCTCTCATGTTTTCTAAAAACAAATATACTCTTATGCAGCTGTTTTGCCTGGAATGTAGACAAACAGATAAGATGTACATATGAAAGAACAGAATTTGCTGAAGGGCAACTGTTTATAACATTGTGGAACAGTGTTCTCTTGATTGCCATTAACACACCTTTTGTTCTGGAAGACATGAGTTTTTATTGTTTAAACTTGGCACTATATCAGACAGGGACACCCAATTGTGGAAACGTAACACATGGTGCTTTGTGTACATTAAAATCACTAATCATTAAGAACCTGCACATCACAAAGGCTCTTTATTTTTCGTTTTATGACAATTTAAAGACCTTTGAACTCATAGCTAACAAAAGCACATGAGACTGCAGATCAACATGCCCTGTTTTACAATAGATAATGTTGTATAGCCTATATAGTACACCTGTGTGTGCTTGCGTGAAGTTTCAGCCCGCTGCTGATTCACCTGTTGATTTAATGTCTCTTTGTTTTTAAAATAGGTCAAAGAAAGATATTCAATGACGAAAATATAGGTGGGAATTCAGCTTTTTACACATGGTTTTAAAAGCCCAACAAACGTTTAATTTGATATGACGTCTGAAAAACAGAACATTCATGCTATAGATGCTTAAAAAACAGGGCTGGGTAAAAAAAAAAAATCGATATCTCGATTTTAATCGATTCTCATTTTTTACGGAACGATATCGATTCATAAATCCCAAGAATCGATTATTCTAGCCTGTTTTCAGTAAATGGATGGAACATCGAAGGGCACCTCCCATCCAATAAATCGCAATAAGCATTGTGCTTTGGTACTTTTAATATGTAACAAAGTCTCAGATTTTAAATTCTGTCCATTGTATTGCATTGTATATACGTCAACTGATCATCTCCTCCACATTAATACCAGTTTCAGCACAAAATAAACATGACTAAACATCCGAAGGTAAGTTAAAAGAAAGAGTACAACTTTACAATCCGTATTCTGTCTCATGTAATCTCTCAATTAGTGTTTCGGCCGCGCAAAGACGTCAATATAACAGCTTGTAAACAATGTGTCACGTAATGTCACCCTCAGAAAAGACCAATTCATTTTTTACTGTTCTTCAATGTTTCATTTATGTTTGAATAAATCCATCAAGTTTTTATGACAGCCACCATTTAAATGTAAAAAAAACGAATTGAAGTAGAAGTATTATTATGTAATTGTAACTTTATTATTTTAAAAACTTCATTAAGTGTAATTTTAGCAGTTGTATATTAGCCTACAAATCAGTAAATTTTAACCTTCAATATTATAATAATGTAGTTCCAACTGACTCTCATGTAGCTATATTTTACAGCTTTAGTTGAGAGATTTTTTTTTCCTTGAGAAAATTTGGCATGTACTGTACCTGATATTTATCCAAAATAATC